CGGAATATCGTTAATCATCAACGTCCGCGCATGTAAACTGGCCTGGTAATCCGCACTTTCAAAGTACGTTCTCCTCAAATTGAGGACCGCCCTGTAATTCCACCATAAGAAGAAAATAACAATGAGATCGAATAACCAGGCGCAGATGGTCATGCCCCAATTACTCGAACCCCAAACATTGACCGGCGTCACTCGAGATACGAAATCCGTTTCCTTCGCCCACAGTCCCTTGGACATATTAATCGGGATCAATATTCCGCAGCCCACCACCGTTATGCATAAAAATATGTTCCGACACATCCTCAGCACTCTCAAAAATATGGTCGCATCCAAACCTATGAGATTAACCAAATCAGATTCCTTGGTCTTGAGCACCGGTCCCAACCAAGCCAAAGGACCCTTTCCAATAGGCGGCGGTGCATGTTTGTCATCTGCAACCTTGAGTTTCGGTGCATACACGACGGAATTGTACGGACGAAGAAGAGAGAAACCGATGGCGAGTAACAAGGTAAAACCTATCGATGTGCCTAAACTTGCATAGATGGAATTTTGCGACAACTGACCCGACAATCAACCATTAGATATGAATGTTCGGAAAAGAAAGAGAAAACAAAAATATCATTAGGAATTAAACAAACCTGGGATCGAAAAGGATCTGCTAACAAATCCAACAACTTCTGTGCATCCGACGCTCTCTTGGTAAGGACTCCCGTCGTACTTCCTACCTCCATCTTGAGTATCTCTATGTAACTTTTTGTATAAAGCGAGTGGCAGTGACAGGCCCAAGGCCAAACGAAGAAGAGTTGGTAATCGTATGCGCGAAGAGCGTATGATACTCTGCAGATAAAGTAATGGAATGGTAACGAGACGTTTGAAGATTCTCTCCTCTTCGAAAAGAGTCGTTGTGTATGATCCTCCGTATGAGCGAGCGAGTGAGGATTGAACAGATGAAGATCGAGGGGTGTAGAATGGATGTCTGAAAGTAAGTGTGTGTGTATTTCAGTATTGGTATGTCGTTCCTTGAATAACCCTTGATAGCGATACGGGGTCTGGTTCAACCCCTACAGATTCTTTTTCACCCAAACTGACCCCTGTTGACCCAGTCTATACTGAATGTAATGTTGTAATATGAACGACTGGGATATTTATGAAAATGACGCTCTTTCAAGGGTTTTTCTTCTCGACGTTCCCTTGTGGTGTTTTGGGGAGTAAATGAATAAATCAAAGTATTTTCGGGAAATTGTTAAAAAAGCAAGCCACGATTAGAAGTACCGACGGATAGGAAATCCTATTTGATTGAAGTGTACGAGGAGGAGAGTAGGAGAGTAATAGAATATAATTCTCTGCTGCAAAAGACGGAATGAATTCAATAATTGGAGTTTGAAACAGAATGAAGACGCATATCAACCAATGTACTCCATCTCGATATAATAAATCTCGAGAATGACCTCAGGAAGAGAAAAAAGAGCAAAGACTAAAATAGAACGAATCTACTCGTAGAATGAATCTAGAATGAATCACGAACGAACAATTGAATTCAGATCGAATCAAAGTAAAGCCATTTATTCATTCTTTCATTCATTCATTCACTTACTTGTGTTTACGAAATACCAACAATAAACAAATACTCACCTATCTCGTCTCCTTAGTTCTTATTTCTAAAGATATCATCAACCAAGCCATACCAAGCCATAGGTACCAACAAAGAAACTCAGTCTTCAGTCTTCCGTTCTCTTACACTACCGGTATCCATCCAGTCCATTCAATCCATCGTCTCTACGCTCCAATCTAGATTCCCGCAGCCGCAAGTAACTCTTCTCCTTCTCCCTTCTTCAATTCCCAACAACACTACCGGTACATCCATCCATCCATATCCATACATCCATATCCATCCACAATCCACCACAATCCACCACCAAATCCCTAACTAGTAACCCATCCTAACCACCCTAACCAAACCCATCGTCATCACCCCAACCCCATCTGTCCAAGATCTACCAAATCCAAGTCTCTATCTTCCTCTCTTCCCTACCTATCCATCTTCCTTACCAAAACCACCTATCATACCTCCCCTCACTCCCTCACCCATAACCTCACCCACAACCTCTCCCTCACACCCACCCACAAAACCAACCAAAAAACTCATTAAACCCAAAATCAGTAACCTTTCCCTCCCTCTCATTGGCTCGCAAAAATGGTATTCCGAGATTTACAAAGTATACCGGAGTTATTCTTGGCGTTTGCGTGGTGTTTTTGTAGTATGGTAATTATGGGTTATTTATAGATGGTTTTGTGAGTGGATGTGAAGCGATTGGTGAATAGATGGAGAGTGAGAGAGAAAGGTTTGAATACAAGTAAATAGGTATCTAAAGGTGTATCTGAGAAATACATCGATGATTTAATATTGATATAAATGACGCTTCGCTGACCCTCCGGGGGCCACTGCCGTGGAGGCAGACTGTGTAGAGAATGAAGATATAGATTTGGCTATCTATACCTATACTAATTATCTAATTTATATAGTATATTTCACTCCGAGAATTATATTAAGATACTACCCACCTAGTATCTATTCAAACATCACACAACTACATAAAAAATGGTTTTGGCATGGGTTCCAACATATCTATCACATACCCCATCCAATCCATACATTCCCATCATACCCTCCAAACAATGCAATGCAATGCGCTCCAGTCGAGACAGTCAGTCCAGTCCAGAGTCCGACCCTTCTGTGCTCGCTGATCGCTTCTCTACTTCGCTAGGCTCTCGTCTCTCTTCTTGATGCTAGCGCTGAGCTTTGCTACGATGCGACTCTGCGCTCTTCTCTCTTCCTAGTCCCTCTTCCCTTTCCCTTTCTTCTCTCCCGCTCCCTCTCCTACCTATTGCACTACCATCCTATAATCTATAATCTATTCCATCACCCATTCCATCAACCCTCACCTCAATCCCTCACCCCCAAACTCTAAATTTCCCACCCCCTTCCTTTATCCATCCACACCTACTCCAGATCCATCCATTATCCATTATCCATTATCCATTATCCATTATCCATTATCCATTATCCATACATCGGGGAATATCCATGCGATGATGCTGAGCCTGTGTTGTTGTTGTACTCCATATATTTATTCAATGCAAACTTTGTCTTATGATCACCTATTAGCATTACTCAGCAATTCTATTATTTCTTCTCTACGATATCGTCATTATCATTATCATTATCACCATCACCATCACCATCATCATTCCCTCCCGTCTCTCCCCTAATATACTCAAATCTACTCTATACAATCCAATACATACATACATACATACATACCTACCCAGACAATAAATATCATCTCCAAAACACAGAATATGATCCAACCTTCAACTCCCCCATATCCTTCCCAACCTCTCCTTCATTCAAAACCTTCACTCTCCCAACAACCCAATTAAATTTCCCAATCCATCCATCTACTTCATCAACCCACAACCATCCATACTCAAGTAATTACTACCCACTCACTCCATCACATAACATATAACATCGATTCCCTACCTACCAATTCATAAACCCTCATCCAATCCATCTCCAATCCATCTCCAATCCATCTCCAATCCATCTCCAATCCATCTCCAATCCATCTCCAATCCATCCATCTCCAATCCATCCATCTCCAATCCATCCATCTCAATCCATCCATCAACAATCTCTCAAACAACACTACCTAGATACCCATACTTTATTACTCCCCAAACTCTACGATTACCCAAAGATTCTTCATTTCCTTTCCATCCAAATCCTTTCCATGCAAATCTTTTCCATCCAAATCCTATACTTCGCCCTTTGCACCATATAAACTACACAAATCCAATATAATATCTTACAATAATATCTTACAAATACAATCTATAAGATAACCCATCCATCCACATCCCATCCATCTATCCGAACCCCCCTACTTCCCATCCTTTAAGAAATATTCTCAAACGACTAGATACGCATAGTCTATCTGGGTATCTAGGTATACGATATCTAGGTATACGATATCTAGGTACCTATATAAATAAAGTTATATCAAATTCTTACATCTACTTCTCTACCTACCTACCTACCTACCTATCTACTATCTATCTACATACTAGGCACATACATCCATCCATACACACATCCATACTTCCAGCCCAGCCCAGTAAATACCTACCTACCTAGATATATATAAATCTCATGTCTCAAACCCTATCAACGTGATTCGATCCATATATATACTACCTAGGTAGATAGAAAGACTGTGATATAATCATTACCCCCATTCATTATTACATGCAACATTTAACATTTAACATTCATATCTCACCAAACCATGTCATAAATCCCAACCCAATCCCAAACCACAACCCAAAAATTCCACCACTCACTCAATTCAACAATCCACAACAAAAGATAGAATAAAGATATATAAAAAAACCTCGCAGCTCAACTCGCAACTCACAACTCAAATCTGATAAATAATAATTTCATTCTGCATATTCATTTTGGTTTCCTATAGACAACTCGCTCCACTTTTCTTTAATTGCATTGCATTGCATCACATCTTCATCCCATAATTCGTCATTTCCCGTCTCGCATCTCCCATCTCCATCTCCATCTCCATCTTCCAATCCCCTCTCTCAATTCATATCAAATAATTTCAGTCCAGAGAATCTTTGAATCTCTGTACCTAAGTAGCTTTCCTTTCCCGCAATAATATACAAAGCATAAAAATGCAAAAATGCAAAAAATGGCAAAATAATAACCACCAAGACCCATCACCATATTTCCCCATATAGCCCAAATGATTCGATTCGATTGATTTTCTGATTATCCGAAAACGCATCAAAATGTTATATCGTAGATTTTTCCAATTGAAAGAAATCATATTCGCTGCAAATAAGGGTTTCATTGTCTGAAATGTGTTCAACAATTGAAAAGTTCATCAACCCTGTGAATGGAGAAGGTGTAATCTCTTGACCGACTAAACAGATTCCTTGCGTGCTTGACTTCTTGTCTTTCGTTGAGCTTGACCAACAGCAGGAAGTTTCTTTTCCCTCTTAGCAGGTGTACCATTGGATGCACCCTTTGGTCTACCAGGCTTCTTCTTTGAGTCAGCACCATTGGCAGTGCCATTAGAAGTAGCGTTGGTCTTTTGTTTTTTGGTACCGTTCTCTTCTGGGCTCTCTGCTTCATCGTCCAATTCATCTGCCTTGCGCTTGTTGCCAGCCTTGGCTTTGGTCTCGGATTTCTCTCCTTTGCCGTTCGAATCTTTCTTCTCGTCCCCCTTGACATTCTTTTCCTCAGTCTTTTCTTCGGTCTTTTCCTCGGGCTTTTCTTCGGCGGGCTTTTCTTCAGTGGTCTTGCCTTCAACCTTATCCTCACCATCCTTCATCTCAACATCCTCTTCCTTCTTATTTCCCCCCTCGGATTCAACCTTTTCGTCTGGAACATTGGTTTCATCTTTCATTTCCTCATCCTTGGATTCACCATTGGTCTCGGCCTTCTCCTCTTCGACCTTTGTTTCGCCATTGGTCTCATCCTTTGAATTACCATTGGCCTGGACCTTTTCCTCCTCATCCTTGGCTTCACCATTGGTTTCATCCTTCATTTCTTCATCTTTGGATTCGCCATTGGTCTTCTCCTCGGCCTCCTTCTTGTTCTCCTTTGATTCACTGGAGTTCTCTTCCTCTTTCTTTTCCTCTCCCTCCTTACTCTCTCCACCCTTCTCCTCCACCTTCAACTCACTAGCCAACTTCACAACATCATTACCACTTCTCTCAATGTGTACTGCTGGATTCTCCTCATCCCCCGTCTTCTTAATTTCATTTCCGCGATGACTAGTAACCGAGACTTCACCAGCCTTTACTTCCGCAGCGGTTCCATCTGGATTCGCGCCGCCCCAGCTCCAGGAAACTGTACGAAGATTTGTCAGTCGTGTGAAATTGAGTCGAGGTAAATTGAAGATCGCCATGGTATTATGTGAATGGGTAATGAGCGCAAGTTAAGTAATGGGGGAGGAGTGAAGTGAAATGGAGTGGAGTTGGGGAAGTTGCAGAAGTTGAAGAAATCTCGGAGCGCAAAGCTTGCGAGAATGGAAATGGCATTTGTGAGGGAAAGGTGGTACAAATCAAGAAGTTTTCAGATAGTGACATCCAAAATTCTCCTCTCTAGTAGATAGAAAACAAGTAATAGATCTCACATACCTTTGTCGCCTTCTTCGATCTTATTATCAGCCATCTTTTCCAATCTTCTCGTCTTCCGGGTCTTTTTCAGAATCTTCGAATTTTTAATGTAACTTAGTGACTCAAGATAAAAATATCAATCCAAATTCCACGATCTTTTCAATTGTCTCTCGCGATTCAATTGAAGTAATCAAATAGAAAATTTCGTGTCAATTGAAGTGTTGCGACAAAATAAACAGAAGAATAATCAAAGAGTTGACGTTGAAAAGCAAAGCAAAGTAAATATGTGCAATATGACGCTCCAAGCTTGCAAGCTCTCTCGGGTACTACAAGCTTTTGCAATGACTTTCAAGGTTAGTTCCGGGTTACCGTAGAGAGGGGATACCGGAAATGGATTAGATCTTCTAGTAACCTGTAGATATTGCCTCTATTAGTACTTGGGAGAAAAGAGATCAAAATTAAACGCTAATAAATTCTATAGAAAAATTATCTAATAATAAAATTACTATATTTAATAAGATTGAATAAGTCATTGAACAATTCTCAGTTATTATAATTATTTGAATATTTAATTCTTTAAATCGAAATAGAATAACTAAATTATTAAAGAGCTTTATTAGTAATCAATTTCGATCTATTTTATCTCCTATAAAGAGATTATACTTAATACGTTAAAAGATCAACGAATCAGATATTCAAGAAAATAATTACGACATCGAAAAATCTTAACAAAAAGAAAAATATCATACCTCATTAAGCTATAAACAATTTCATCTTTTTCCTCTTCTTTATTTTTTTCTTTCCTCTATACGAAATATTTTAATTTAATCGGACATGCTCGGCTATAGCTTTTCTTATAAAGATTTTCTACAGAATCTTCTAGGTGCTGGAGGCGCAATCCACGCACTCAACCCGATCTGAATTGCGGGGAAATGGCAGGGTTGGGATGCATCATTCCCACATATTTACTCCGTGTATGACTGCAGAAATGATTGAAGAAGAGATAACTCGTAATATCTACCTAGGTATTGTTGTGTAATGTTGTGATGAAATGAGATGAAAGATATACTCGTAGAGAAATAGAAATGTTGGATGATTTGAGTTGTATTCACCTCAATTACCCGATCCCGAAACTCAATTCAATCAATCCATGAGAGTCGGGTAATTCAAATATTGATGATGAATGAAGAGATTTATCCTGTTCTGTTCCTGATCCCGAGGCCTGTCTGCAAGGGGAGGGAGAGCAGCAAGCTAATGCATGGGTAGATCCGCTTATTCACGTGATTTTAACCAGAATGAAGAGGATTATAACGTCATTACTTGTTCTTACAATTCTACGCACTGCTATGGAGAATAGAGAATAGAGAACATGGAGCTTTGTATATCAAATTGGAATGTACTACTACTAGTAAGGTATGTACTACCGGTAGCAGTATGGAGATATAATAAAGATACATACTAGGTATTCTATGAACTTCTTAAGACATCAATACGGTAAGGCTTGCTAATGATATTCTATCAATTATACTCTACTAAGCTTCAGCTCAACAGGTGACTTGTATTGATTGTAATTGAGAGCTGTATGAGATTAAATTTATATGGATTTATCAACTCGAAATAATTTTTGAATTTTATATTTACAATTTAATCTTCCCAATGTTTCAAAGAGCTATATGAGATTGAAGAATCTAATACTAACCAGAATATTCAGCAATAAGTCACCAAAGAGAAGTATTTGTTTACAGGCTTTCATTTTAGTCTCATGTTATATTTCGATATCGCAATACATTTCCTATCCCAACCATCCATTGATTAATGGTTAACCAGCCATTAACGCCAATCACATATAAATACATCAAAATACTCATCAGCTTAACTACAAATCAAGCTACCGCTCAAGCTATACTAAAGGATTCTAGTATTTGAATACTTGATGCCTCATCAACTTCTCCTTTCCGTTCCTGGTTATCTGCTTCAATTCCTAATAGTTTAGGATAATTTGTGCGCAAGTGTTCCATTACCCAAGTTGCATCATTGACCCGATTCTGCTCGAGTAGAATCCTGGCTGCCATCAGAGATATCGAAACCATCTTCTTCGCCTCATTTCTTTCAAATGGTTGTACAAGATCCTCGCTTTCTGACCCTCTTGAAGAATGTTGTTGTCGAAGGAATTCTAAGAAATGATCTGCGGATCGATGGTATGGGGAATATAAATCTAAGGTGTGCAGGTCAACATCATGGATGCTAAACTCTGGCAGAATTTGTTGGAATGTTTTGAAAGCTTCTGTTGAAGTGGCTTCTCGCACTTGTCGAGAGGACTCGACAATTAAGTGAAATACATGCTGTCCGGGTTCTGTTAGAAGACTGTGAACCTTTTCAAATCGCAAGTCTTTCGCCATATTTGTTATTCGAAGTAAAATAGAGATTGAATCATTAAACGATGCCTCGAGTCTGGCTGTAAGGGTAACGATTTTAGAAAGGAGTTGAGCTACACCACGGAATTCAAATTCTGTAGCGTTGTTGTTGTGAATGGCTTTGCTTATCCACTCCCAAAATACTTCTTCGTAACCTTCTGCACGCATGAACTCAAAGAGTAAAATTGCAAATCTTTGATCTTGCAATAAGAACTCAATATTCTGGTTTATACCACTTGACGTCAACCACTTCAAGATCTTGAGTCCGGCGCCTGATTTCTTCATACTTTCTTCCAACGTTTCGTGCGATGACTGAAGTTGTTTCTTTTTGGCCATCAAAATTGCTCTTGCATAGTTCAGAGTCATCATTCCTCGCCCAACAGCCCTATCAAATGTATCCATTGGATCCTGCGGGGAACCAGGCTCACCCCTTTGTTGCGTTCGTTGGTTGAAAAGAGGATTTGTGAGAATGGATTTGATGTGTCGATCGGTGTGCTTATGACCGGAATCTGAGAGACGCCTGGACCTGCCATTTGGATACTGTTTATTGGATTGAGTTGATTCGACATTGCTACTCGTGTGCGAAGGGCCATGCTCCGAGTCGAGTTGTTGTCGGAATGATGTTGTGAGAAGTTCAAGTAATTGTGTAGATTCACGTTGAGTCAAGGGTAGGGGTTGATGAAGCTTAAATTTGAGAAGGGCGGGCAGTTGGCGAAAGAGACTTGGTGGAGTAGTTCGAAACATTGTGCAGAGGTTCGGTCTGCGAGCAATAAATTGTAAAAATGTAGTCCTCGAAAGCAGTATGATTTATGATAATTCGTATTGAAGGTATGATGATCGACGTAATGCTGCAGGCCCTCTTCTGATTACTTAATTCGGAGTACGACAATCAAACTATGGATAGTTTGAAAGTGGGTGGAGTGGTCAAGGGGAGTGAGTGAACTCCAACTTCCTCGGTTTCTGCAGAGGAACCTTTGCACGGTCAGTATGTATGTACACCTCATCTACCACATCTGTAACAGGTGGGGAAGGGTAAGATTGGTAGTGTGATTAGAGGATATACCTAAGTCAAATGATAGGATTTGAGGTATGCCAGCAGCAGTGACTAGGTATCTTTTGCGATAATGATAATCCGCGGATTTCAAGACGTTCCAATTGTACCAGCAATCAGCGCATGTTCATAATCGTCGTATCCACCCCACCTGTGCCACCACCCACCGCCTGGTCCTCAGCCTCAGCCACATTCTGGACTGGATGCAACCAACCTGGAATAAATCACTGCTTTTTTGGAATTATTCTATCAATTCAATGAATTGTTATTTTGATTCATAATCTGGATAGACAAGATTAACGGGTGTGATTCTGTCAGATAGAATCTAATCAATTAAGTAAATTCAGTAACAATTGTTATAAGATATCAATCAATACCTACCTACGTACCATTCGAATGTGCAATGCTTGAGCCACTCTCCACTTCCACTCATCTCCACCTGGGCAGCCCTGGAGGTCACCGTTTTTATTTCATACTAAGCACTTTTCGTCTGCCGTGATCTTGTGGTCTTTTGTGGTTTGCTCTTTTTGCCGCCGCCTAACGCCCTTGTTGATAAATCCAGCCAATCATACGAGTTTGATCCATGAAAATGATTGCATAGAGCCAAGGTATTATCTAATTACACGTGACTATTGCGCTAAAACTTAGAGCCAAGGAAACTTTTGAACATTCAATTGTAGTAAAGGAATCAGAATTTCTCAAAATTGAAGAGGAAGAAATCAACCATGTCTTGCTATGTGGTGCTCATTTGAATAACTTCAAATCATTGTCTATTCTTTCTATTGCAATCTTTTTAATTGTGTAACAATCCCATTTGTTTTCGCATATTAATCAATTTTGTTACTCTAAAAGTAAACATCGTGGAGAATCCTACATAACTGACGCGACAAGCCGATTTTATTAAAAGGAGAGCTTAAATCTGTGCCCTGTGCCTTTTTTAACCTACCTCACCTAAAATCCCAAACCAAAAGCGTCATTCCTCCTCTCTCACAATACAACGAAAACCCTCCACAATCCAACAATCTTCTACATTTCCCTCAACTCTTTTTCTCCTGTTACTTTTTCTCTTGCTTACACAAATACACATAACCTCATAAAATGTCAGAGGTACAACCTAGACCAACGCCTCGTGGCAGAGGTTCAGCTCGTGGTGGTCGTGGAGGTTTTGCATCAAGAGCTGGTGGTCGCGGCGGAGCAAGAAGTCATGCAACCAACGAGAACACATCTACTACTGCATCAATTGAGCAAAATAATAGTGAGGTTGTTCAATTAAAGAAGAAGCATGGTAGTAAAGTGAGCACCATCCAAGAATTGTTTCCCGGCTGGACAGACGAGGATGTCGTTATGGCCCTCGAGGAAACCGATGGAGATTTAGAAAGTACTGTTGAGCGCATTTCAGAAGGTAAGAATTTCATTCAACTTTCAACAATCTTTATCAAGCCTATTTTCTTCAAGTATGTTTGCTAACCTCTCACCATCAAAGGTACCATTTCACAATGGGGAGAAGTTTCAAATAAGAAAGATCGATCTAAGTCCAAAGTTCACGATTCAACTTCATCTGCCCCTCTTAATGAGTCAACCAACACTGGAAGAGTTTCCCGAGGTGGTCGAGGTGGATTCGACGGTACTAGAGGACGTGGTCGCGGTAACGAAAGAGGCAGAGGTGGCAGAACTCGTGGGGCTCCAGTTGCGCATACAAATGGTACACGTAACGAAACCGCCGAAGTCTCTGTTCCTACAACTGAATCCAACGCTTGGGATACTGCTGCCACTACTGAAAACACCACTAAAGATACCCCTGCCGATGCGGAATCTTCCAAACCTGCTGAGGCTGATAACACTTGGGGTGCTACAGCAACCAACGCTGCTGCTACAACTGCGGCCGCTGCTACAAGTGCCGCTTCAACTATTATTCCTGATGGTGTCAAGAAGAGTTGGGCAAGTATGTTTGCACCAGCACCTAAGCCAAAGAAGGCCCCAGAACCCGTGGAAAAGCCTGCAGAGCTCCCCAAGCCAGAGGAACCTGTTGAAGCCCCAGTCGTTTCGGAGCCAGAGCCTTCTGTTCCCGAACCAGAAACCGTCGAAATCCCAGAACCTATTGCACCTGTCGAGCCACCTGTCGAGCCCGAAGCTAATATTAATCTCACCCCATCGAAGGACGAATTGACGGAAACGAATCTCGAACAAGTTCCAGATGAATCGGTTCCACCCCCAAGTGCGACAGCCGCAAGCACTGCTGCAAGCTCCTGGGACCCAAGAAATGCTGCTGGAAATGCTACTGGAAATTCTACACCCTACTCAGCATTGCCAACTCAAACTTCAGCTTCTTCCCGTGCTCCAACCAGTGGTTTCCAAGCTTCTGCATTAAAGGCTACCGGATCATCAGGTCGTACACCAAGCTTTCAACGCCGCGTCCTCGACCAGGAAGAAGCTGTTCGCATGCCAGGAAATCGTGAAGTGGATAGAGCTGCTGTACAATTCGGCGCATTCAACCTTACAGGCGAAGATGATGTTGATGGTGATCGTGAAGAGCCAGAGACTAGAGCCCAGCCACCTCAGCATTCCCCAGTAGCACCAAGAGCTACTTTGCCTCCCGCCCCTCAACAAGCTGCCCCAGTTTCTGAAACCTTGCCAACCCCAAAGCAAGCTCCAGGATTGCCTGCTGCTACTCACCCAACAGCTGCCCCTGGCCTCCCTTCCCCACAAACTCATCCTTCTTCTCAAAGTAAGTTTCGCGCTCAACATATTCCCTTAGCAGCTATTAATTTTTCTACTTCACAGGTGCACCTCAACAGGGATCCCAAGCTGGCTCTCAATTGGGTCAATATGGCCGATATGGACAACCAGGATCTCAAGAGCAGTCTTCATTGCCACAGAAGCCATACGATGCATTCAGTCAACAAGCACCAAGCTCGCAAAGCCCATTTGAAGGTTACCCAAGCCAATCTCAATCCCAGGCACAGCAACAATCTGGTGCATTCTCTTCTGCACCCAACGATTACTCTTCTTACTACACCTCTGATCCACAAAGACATAACTACAACAGTTACTATCAGCAACAATATAACTTGCAACAAGGTGGCCAAGGTCAAGATGCTTCATCATCTCAAAGATCTTATGGTGGATATAATGGACCCCAAACTGAAACTTCTGGTCAACAATCCCAATCTCGCTATGCAACTGCAGGAGCAGGAGAAGGACAGAACAGTGGACACACTACTCCTAACCCAGTAGCTCAAAGCCAACAACAAACTGGTGCTGCTGCTCAAACAACTCAACCTCAACCTAGCCATTCACAACAACCCCAGGGAGCCTATCCATATGGTCATCCTTACTATCAAACCCCATACTACAATGCTTACATGAGTCAATTCCAACAAGCCGGCGGATACGGTGGCTACGGTGGTTCTCCATATGGTGGTGGAAAAGGTGGCATTCACGGCCAACCATACCAAGGTTACATGTCCCCTGGTGCACCATATGACCACACTTCTACCCCTGCTGCTGGAGGATTCGCTGGATCTTCTCTTCATGGTCGCGATTCCGCAGTCGGAGGAGGATTGGGCGAGTATGGCCGAGCTGGATCATCCCAATCGTCTCAGACTCCTCAAGCACTAGGTGGAAGCGGCGGATTCGGTGCTGGTTCTCATGATGCATTTAGCCGTGGTGCTTATCCTTCAGGTCAGCACTACAATGCAACTCAAGGTAGCCAACCAGGAGCTAGTGATGACTTGAAACCATTCGGAGAATCAAAGACAACCAATGGACCAAGCCCATCTTTGTCCCAAGCTGGACGTCCTGGTTCTGCCACTAATGCCACCCCTGGATCAGTCTTGCCACCACCCCAATCCCAACAAGGTGGATATGGTGGATACCCAAGTCATCTTCAAGGACATGGACTCCATGGTAGCCAAGCTGGTAGCCAATATGGTGGTCTTGGAGGTGTTGGAAGTCACCAGGCTGCTGGCCAAGGTCACCAGAGTAGTGGATATGGAGGCTACCAAGGTTATGGGGGTTACCAGGGTTTTGGTAACAACCAACAACGTGGTGGATGGGGTGGCAACTATGGACATTAATTTATTTGGCCAAAATTAGCTTGCACAACCTTTGGTAGCTGTTGTTGATCTTTCTTGAGGGAAGAATTCGATCTTCATACTAAAAATTAACTGTGTTACTACGACCAAAAATTCATTTTCCTGCTTTTACTATTTTCTTTATTTTCGTTGTCTAACGACTTGATGCACAAGCAAAAGATCTGGATTGCACATTCAACAAATCTGGATTTATATCAACATTATGGCTGGCTGGATTTGTTTTCACTCTTCTAAAAGGCATACAAATTCATTGTTTTCAAATAGTTATCTTCACGACTCAAATGATGGTTGGGGGTGGGATGGAATGGAATGGGTTCATAAGGATGCATTGCATGATTGTATGAGACTGGAGGGATGCATGAATTGATTTTGAGAGATATGAGGGTGGATAATGAATCCATTGGAGAGAGTAGTCAGATAACTAGATGATGGATAGTCATGAACATATCAATTCGATGGTTATTTTGACTACTGCATAGTTTTCTGCTTCATTTGTGGCAATGTGCTTGTTTGCTATTGTCTTTTGTGTTTGTGAAATTTGAGTGTGATTTTATTTCGTATGGGTAATTGTGTGATGTGATGGTACCCAGGTATGTATTTTGATGCAGGAGGGTTTTCTGATCTCCGTTCATATCTTTGTGATTTCAATTCTTGAATGTATCTTTCTCTGCATCGGTTTTTGATGTCAGAAATACTTGTTGATGATGTATACTCAGTTCTGTATACACTTTGCCAGTAGCAAAATTGATAGTGGAATAATTTCAATTTTTGGGGGGCAAGGAATTCTTTGAAAAGAAGGAGGAGAAGGGAGTGGGAGAAGGGAGTGGGAATTTGCTCTTGCACTTGCTGATTTTTTATTTTTTATTTTTTATTTTTTATTTTTTATTTTTTATTTTTTATTTTTTATTTTTTATTTTTTATTTTTTATTTTTATTTTTTATTTTTTATTTTTTATTTTTTATTTTTTATTTTTTATTTTTTATTTTTTATTTTTTATTTTTTATTTTTTATTTTTTATTTTTATTTTTTATTTTTTATTTTTTATTTTTTATTTATTTTTTTCATTCGTTGGATTTGTTGTATTTCTCTTCCTGGTTCTGGCTTCTTGTTTCTGTCTTCTTTTTCGCTTCTTTTTTATCTCTTATATATTCTATCTTCTGACTCCAGAGGCTCCCTGTCAGTGGCTTATATTACTTGATTTACTTGCTCATCTAACCACCTATCTATATGTCATCGATTAGTCAATCAATTATGGACAGACTTTCTGTTCTGCTCTCGTTACTTTATCCTGTTCTTAGATTGTGAGGGTGTTCTTATTCGTAGGTAGATTTTGAGGGCAGTGGGGGGGGGATTATTTCTGTTTGTGTTGATTTTAAGTTTGATCTCTCAACTGCTGGGGATATGTGCAGTTGAGATGGAGGTTGGGGTTTGTATGAAGCTGGCATCAGTTGAGTCGAGTTCTAGTGTGTGGTTTTGTCTTGGTGGGAGATTGTTTGGGGAAGGCGAGAGGAGACGAAAACAAAGGGGGATTGATTGGTGTGCTTGGTATAGAATTGTAAAACCTGTAGCTTAGACTGTGGAGGGATTGGTATCTCGAGGTACTATAATTCTTCCCATACTTTAACAAGAGGGTTTGAAGACTCAACACCTGTGAACAGCGCATCCTGCAAACATCAATCTCTCTTTTGAGTGTCTAAGAGCTGAGTTCGAGACAATACTGCATAGAATCAGCCCAAGAGCTGGCTCAAGCATCGGGCGCGAATTATTAAATTCGGGTTTAATGCTTAGGTCCCACTTCTTTTTATTGGAATTAAAACAATCACAATTTATATACCTAGAGAAGGTGTGTGAAACAACCTGATCTAACGATATATATTCTTTATAGTCTTGAACTGAGAAAGAATCAACAACTCAAATACAAGGTTAGATTGGTAGAGCTTATTGCCAAGCTGCGGTAACTGGGTTAACAATCAGCAAATCATATGTGACTTCTACCCCTGTGGTTTTGATAATTAAAGGCCACTTGAATTATGGTATTCGAAATGGGCAAGGTTGTTAATTGGCCAGTAAGTTCGTCAGCTCCCTCTGAATAATTACACAATTGTGGTGACAACCAAGGCCAGCCTCGCAGAAATGGCAACACCCCAAAAATGAAGAAGAAATCCATTCCTCCTAAATATTTTACACACATTTACAAATCGTGTTGTTTTCAAAATGGCTAGCTCATGTTCAACTCCCACGATACCGCAGCGCACAGTGGCCGAGAAACGATGGCACCAAGCCTGGGAATCATTGAAGAAGGAAGATAAAGACGAAATCAAACTAGACCCCACTCGAACGGGTTATTTGGACATTCTTCAAGACATTCACAATCTTGCTACCGAGAAAAAAGAATTATGCATACAGAAAGCATGGAAATACAAAAAGAAGAATGGCACAACGATAATTGTCCGAGATCTCTTCGAAAAAATACTTGTTTGGGTGGACAAAGTAAAGGATATCGGAGATGTAATCGTCAGTTACGATCCTGGACATGCAGCTCTCCCTTGGGCAGCGGTGCGATTGCTTCTTACGATTGCAGTTGAAGATAGTCAGTCGCTTGGGATTTTGATCGAGGGGTTGGAACAAATCTCAAAGTTGATCGCTCAGTGCAAGGTGCTCGAAGATCTGTACTCACAATCTGCTGGTGATGACACGGGCTTTAATGGAGCCTTGCTGGAACTTTATGTCGCGATTTTGACATTTGAGTCACATGCGATTCAAATATATCGAAAAAGCACGGCAAACCGTCTAATTTCGGCAATCAAATTACCCTCGAATAAATTACAAGATGGCCTTAACATGGTATGGGTCAAACATCAACGAGTTACAGATTGTACCAGGTTGATTGACGCTCAAAACATTCGTCAATTCGAAGATATTCTTCGACAATTTAAACAACCAATCATAAGAAGCGCAACAATTTTACAGGACTACCAAGATTCTTTAGAACTCCAAGAGCGCGAGACCTTACTGAGATGGCTCTCAACGATACCATACCGAAAGCATCACAAATTAAAGCGTAGCGAGCATCTTAAAGGCTCTTGCGAATGGCTTCTAAATTCGATAGACTACAATCAGTGGAAAGATTCCAGTGCATCGTCCATACTATGGCTCAATGGGATAGCCGGTTGTGGGAAAAGCGTTTTGACGTAAGTAAACCGAGCTGAGATTCCAATACAATCAAAGTTTTGACATTGTTTTCAGGTCCTCGGTTATCGATAGTCTGTGCCAGGAAGCTTCTAGTATAAGGACTGCGGCTCCGGTTGCATATTTCTATTGTTCCCGTAATACTGCAGAACCTGAGAGAGCCAACCCCGAAGAAGTTCTACGTAGTATCTTGGAGCAAGTATCATCAAACACCGCTAACCTTCCAATCCGAAAGCCTGTTGTCGAGGTCTACACGAAGCTGAAAGAAGATAACCGAGGACTCTCTCCTCAGGAGCGTTTGAATTTGAATGAGACTACTGAAGTTCTTCTCAAAATACTTCAAGTAGATCCTTTCTATGTGGTGATTGACGCACTGGATGAGTGTGACCCCAGTGAAAGATACAGCCTTATTGAATCTTTGAAAACTATCATTGATGAATCTGCCAGCGTTGTCAAGGTTTTCATTTCGAGCAGGAGAGACTATGACATAGTCAGTCAACTTGAAGAGTCGCCATGCATCTCAATTCAACCTGGCCACATTTCTAACGACATTGAGAATTATGTCAAGAAGGAAGTTTCCGAGGCAATTGAAAAGAAAAGGATAGTCAAAGGAAAACTTATACCCGAAGAAAAGAAGAAAATAGAGCAGCAAATAAGTCAAGCTCTTATTGATGGATCTCAGGGAATGTATGTTCATCCGCTTCTATTCTGGAAATTGGAATTACTGACAAAATGAACCATTAAACAGGTTTCGATGGGTGACTTTGCAGATACAGCAACTTTGTAAGCAGGTTAGAGTCAAAGGAGACATTGATAGTGTTCTCAGAAAGCTCCCAAAATCACTTGAGGACTCTTATCATCTTGTTTATCAAGACATTATGAGCATGGAAGAGCCAAGTCAGAAAGTTGCCATCAGGACATTACAGGTGTTATTAAGCACGAGACGAAAACTCGATCTGGATGAGATGCTCGCCGCAGTCACTGTTGAAATTGACACAGACGAAGTCATGGTCTCTACGGTTGATGAGTTGCTATATGTTTGCTGCAATCTGATAATATTTGATAAAGGAGAACGAATTCTACGCTTTGCACACCTTTCGGTTCGAGAATTTCTGGAGAATTGCGCCCCAAGAGATTGTTTCAGCATCCAATTCAGAGAATTATTCTTGATGAATCGATGCCTTTACGTTTTCTTATATGAATCTTGCCATGTAATCATTTTCAAAGAGCAAGCAGATGAAGTTATTCGAAAAAACAAAGATTTCACATATTATGCAGCAGAATATTGGTCTGAGCATTGCAAATTGGCGCAGCCCGATGTGGTGACCAGCGAATTTTTGAAACAGTTTATCGGCAAGGATCTGGATATGGGCTATAGTGCATCACATAAACGGTGGCTCAAAGCCGCTAGTTATTACAAACGCAAATTCGACGACGCTTTCACCGAACACTACCATGTTGGGGTAACTAATGCATCTATCTTGACCACTTCCTGTATATACGGATTGATGGCAATTGTCATGACTTTGTTGGCATACAACAATATTGATGGGAATGCGCCTGTGGCAAATTATATTGGGCATATATATTATCCATTGGCGTATGCAGCTCAGGGGGGACATGTCATGATTGTCAGACAATTTCTTAGCAGATACAGTGACTACTATGCAAAAGGCAGTCCCGGGCACGAGATTATCTACATGAGTCTTTGTGAAGCTATCCAGGCCTCGCATATTGAAGTTGCAAAGACTCTACTTGACTATTTCATGATAGATGTCAACGATCCGCTCACGAAAAAACTGATAAGTAGATACGATAGTCACAGTCTTCTTGGAATAGCTGTTTTGAAAGAACGCGAAGAAATGGTCAAGTTTCTACTTCATTGCGGAGCTGACGCGAATGGTGAGACTAGGAGCGTTATCCCTTCTGTCGAGAGTGTCAATATACTTGAAACCTTGGCAATCTATTACGGCGCACACAAACCAGATGATCAATACCCTTCACCTTTAAAATTTGCTGTAATACGATGCAACACCGCCATCGTAGACACTCTCTGTTCTTTTGGGGCAGATATTATGGCCAAAGATTCTTCGGGGGCTACACTCATACATTTTCTAGCTAAGAGAAATTATCGGTATGGGGGACACTACAATTTTGGACAATGCGCAAGAATTGTTGACCACTTAACACGGAAGGGTGTAGATGTAGCGGCGACTGATAATTTTCAACGTACAGCCCTGCATTTTGCTGTACAAAATGACGAAGGTTTGAATGATCTGGTGCCAGTACTTGTCAATGCCGGTACGCCTATTAATGCACAGAATAGTGAAGGGGATACTGCGTTAAATATTTTCCTTAATGATCTGCAATTAGAGAGTGATAAGCGTGTGTTGCTTCTTCTATCACTAGGTGCAGATTATTCCATTCCGAATAATAATGGGCTTACCGCATTAGATAAGGTTAGGAAAACGTTCAAGAAATTGCTCCCAAAAACTTTCCGACCACGTATTTGCAGATCCATCATCGAACTTTTGACTATAGCATCACAAGACAAAATTGTGGAAGATATATGGAGATTATTTGTCGATGATTCTTAGGTACCCATTAGGTGGTGGGTTATTCACCAAAGGTGTCGAATCAAAATGGCACGAGCGAGGATTGAAATCGTGTAAGGTGGTTTTGAATATTGAGGGGAGTCGGTTTTCATTCAAAATATGTTCGCATGTTTGATTTGATCTAAGTGTTGAAAGGAGATCATATTTCGAGATTTTCACACTACTGTTCTATGTGAAAGATGGTCAAAACTTCACTTGGAGGTTGTGTGCATTCAATCTTTACGGAAACATTGTTCATGCCAAGACCATGATGAGAGTAGTGCGTTGAACTACATAAAGCAGCTGTGGTATAAATAATTGAATCTTTTCATGTCAAGTAATTTCGGCATTATTACATAAATTTGAGAGAATTTAGGGTATAGGAGGAATTATCTGGTGTTTATTCTTGAATTAATACATTGAATGAAAGATGAGATTAAATGAGTGTATGTCGATGTCTAGATTACTTGGAGCATCGACTTTTCGTGGCACTAATGGCCGAATCTCCCTTAAGATACGCTTTCATACTCACCTGATCGACTTGCGTGCAAAGCCACAAGTACCCATACCCAGGTGATTTGTTGTAGAAAACCCGCTAAAGGCCTTAGGCAACCGGAGTCATAGTCATCCATAACTTATATATCTCTCAAGATTCCCCAACTCTATGAACCAGCTTCTCTCCGCTTACCTTTCCCTCTTGCATCTCTCTCATTCCTTCTAATATTCCCTTCAAGCCACCATTCATTATCTTCACCGGATGATTCTTAATCAGCCCATTCTCTAACAGTCTTTCCAATAGGACAAAAGCTCTTTTTCCGAGTTCGAAATCTTCAGGTGCAGCTGGCCATACTTCTCCTTCACTTTAGTACTCTTCGCCAGTGACCGAGTATCCGAGAAAGAAAACATTCTTGACGTCATCTCTGGGCATTTCAATACCCATGAGATTCACATAGATATTTTCGCCGGAAGTTGACAGTGCATTGGCACAAATTTGAGCGCTGGACTAGGTGGCTATTGTGTCGAAGACGTGGTGAAGTTTGTTTTTAGTAAATGAGCGGATTTTGGCTCCGCAGTTGGGATCATGCTGGATGATATTAGCATGATACCTTGGGGGTTGGAAAATTTCAGATGTAGATCCAATCTTCAGACAGAGCTACGACTTAGTCGAGAAAGTTCACAAGCCAAAAGCTATCTTCTCTTACATAATCTAAAACATGATCCGCACCTAAGCTTTCCAAAAGCTCAAAGTTTTTCGGTGACGATGTAGTGATTACTTGCAACCCGGATCTTTAATGGTGTCCGTTAGTGATAATTCATAGCGGGTAGGGATATAGAACTCACAACTTCGCAAATTGAATAGCTAATGTTCCAGTTGCCGAACTTCCTCCATAGATTAGAAGAGGGAGTTTGCTCTCGGAATTTGGCATGGAAAGGGGAAATGTCAAGAGAGGTAAAGACAAATACTTGTAAAATCCCAATGCAATAGTAGTAACTCCAACGCCAAGCGATGCAGCTTCCTCGAAATTGATAGTATCCGGAATGCGGAATGCAACATCGCCTTTGACTACAATGTATGTGGCAAATTTTCCATCTTCAGGCTCAATGTCATTACCTGTGTTGATGTCAGTACTTTGTATCATTATACCAAGAGCAAACCTCCATGTGCCATCCCCGCAACTCTGTCTCCCTTCTTCCATTCTTTCTTGACACCCTTCCCAATCTCAACCACGATCCCCGCAAAATCACATCCTAAAAGCGTGGGACCCTTTGTCCTTGGACTGGACTTTTCGTCTACGGTTTGCCAATCTGTGGGATTTCTTGCGACGGCAATTGTCTTGACGAGAATGTAATCATCCCGAAGTCGTGGGATGGGAATTGGCTGCAATCTTGCTTCTCCAACAGCTGTTTTGACAATTCCGTAGTTCTCTGCAGTGGAATTCATATTGGGGTAAGATAACAAACCTGAGAATGAAAATTAACAACTCTAAAGATGAATTGTGGCAATTGTGATAGCCTGATCACTTCTTATAAGCTACGAATTCATGATTAAGACGTTCTTTGCTGACAATTGTGTTTCTTAACATCTGGGCGGTCATTATGAACGAACCGGAGTTCGGATGAGGAGTTATTCATCCTTTCAGTTAAGAATAAGGGATGACTGCATGATCGGTGTTCAGAAACAAAATGGTTTATAAGCGTAAACTGTCAGCATTTGGAATTTCTGTTCAGGTGATCGAGGACGATATGTCGATGGTGGTCTGTGCTCGGATGAACTCTGAGAGGTTTTAGTTGGTGACCTCGATGTGCTGTGTTACGAGGAGGCAGACCGATGATAACTGAACCATACCCTTGTACAAAAGTTTCTTTTATGTACATTAATAATGGTCGGAAGAGTTCAGCTGTATTGTTATCACGATATCCGACTCACATTTAGTCGTGCTATTATCATTTAATTCCCTAGAACATCATATACTAGTCGCAAATGGAATGTACTAGATAAAACTTCTTTTACTTTAACTCGTAGTTTCACATAAGCTTACAATGATGTGTCATTTATTTGAAAGGCTAGACCCAGTTGATGTGACCTGCACCTACCCCATCGCTAAAAGTGCCCCACGTTCCCCCTTAAACCTTAAAATAAAGTTTAGCGAGAATTTCATTTTTGAAGCAAATTCATTGACTCGCAACTTCGTATTATCATCGCCGAACTATTTAGATAGTCAAGAATCTAAGTACTGGCAGATTTCAACAGACTTGAGTATTTACAATTTACTGTATCGATAAGGTCTTCCGTTAGCGTTACAGGGAGCATTCCTTCGCTTGAGAAATGTCTAATCTATTGACTAATGTACATCATTCGCGAAAATGATAAGTGCGTGGCTAGTACATGCATCTGTAGTCGAAGCTTTCGCAAAAGAGTAATTTGGCTTGATAACTATGTTCCGCGACTGCTTCAATCAAGCGTAGCCAACGCTGACGTGCTCATCAGAGTTGAATGACATTTATTGGGCTACAGCATATGAAATACAGTGATCTCGGAGCTTCCTTAAGTATCGAATTTTCGATTCTTATCTCCGGCTCGTCTCGAGTATAATGCCACTTTTAATTAGACTTCCGAACTCCCGAAGTGTCCGTGAAGCAAGTGACATATATTCAGTAAAAATTCACTCGAAACATGTTAGTTCAGTTGCATAAAGGTCGCAGCAAGAATTTGAACATATCAATTATGCGTACTATACAAGAATGATCTACACTTGAACCCAAATTTCCTCAAATTTTTCTACTAGAGCTTACACAATAGCACAAGGCCAAATGTGTAGTTCATCTGAATTGGATTGTAGGCTTCGAATGCCAGCTAAAAAGCCAGAGAAACAATGCCTCCCACCCATACCGTATTTGACCTGCAGAGATGAGCCTATCTCCTGCCTGTACGATATGGGGCCGTGTTCACCCGCCCAACCTTTATCCTCCCTTCCATATCATCGCGGTCGTCCTCGATCGGGATCGAAATTCTAAAGAATAAATTAACTCGTTGGTGTGGGAGCGAACACTTACGTTGGGCATGCTGAAGTGTACCTGGGCCACCACCTCCTATCAGACAAAGCTGACCCCAAGTAAACTTGCATATTGAAGAAGAAGAAGAAGAAGGTCTGAGAAAGGGGGAAAGGATGATATTTATAGGCAAAATAATTCTCTTAAACCTTTAGTGCGATTTCTGGATTTTGAGCAAACAGGACATACATGGCTAAACTTGGTTAAAGTGAACTGCATGAGGGGGATTTCGTAATTTCTCGGCTTCAAAATTCAGCTAATGGCTGTTTAAAAATGTTAAAGTGTACTAAAATCGATAGTATTGTCCAAAGTACCCCCTAGAAAATCTATTGATATATTGCAAGGGATAGGATTGGTTAATGAGAATATCCGTAGGGCTGAATCACGTAGATCCTCTTGAAAAGATACTTCAAGTGAAAGGATTGGTTACTGGAGGTAGTATCGATGTCTTCACGGCAACGCTACTCAATCTATTGCAGTCTGGATCGATCGTGAGGATTCAATAGGTGTTCGGTATGATTCGAATATATTTCTAGACATGCAGTAAAAATTGAAAATGGGATATCTAATCACACTTCAACCTACTACCATGAGAATGTATGGGATGAACAGGTCACTTTGCGTGCGTCTTAAATGTGTTTTCCATTGAGGGGCAGCATTTCATTGTGAGAAGTTACGGAAATGGGGCACGAAGCTCATACTATTGGCAGGTACGCAGGGGCGACGAGACATGTCATGATTGCACTTTCCTTATTTACGAGGTAACAATAATTCACGGTCCTTCAGATTTTGGAGAGACCACACATACAAAAACGATCGTCTTGTAATATTTTTCACTAGATTCTACTTGTCAAATACGAAATGCACTTCCAAAATTTCAGCGCTGATTGGCAGATACTTTAAGTTGCGAGGTTGACTCGTGTCCTTGAGCAATTGACAAGCTCAAGATTGAGATATCGAATAAAACAAATCATTCATCTTCGACATACCACATGCCTTTGAACCTTTCCATGGTTTGATTCCGCTCTATAGACGGCACGATTGATAATATAGCTGGTATTGGCGCATGACTCGAACAAAGTCTCTAAAGTCTGAACCATGAATATTGAAGTTAATGTTATGCAATGCAGTGATCAAAGAACCAAGAGAAACTGACTGAATTCCGTAGCGACGTTAATCCACGATCAATACCGATATTTAGAGCCTTATTCCCGAGTCTCAGGACGTCGCGAATCGAGAACGAACGTCTCCTGCCTCTATCGCACAACACGAGACTAGCCCTAGACTCGATATTACGAGACAAAATTGAGAGTCTTCATGGAATGGAGAGATGGTAACGCGATGCAAAAGCGAACACAGAGAAATCAGCAATGACACACATATCAATTCATTATCTCGGTTGAGGGTTCGCCAAATATATCCAGAAGTTGAGAAGATAATTCAAAGTTTTACGACAATCTATCACTCATTGCATGCTATTGGTGGAGGGTAAAAAGCCTTGTAAGATGAAGCTATCATAATACCATTATGTCTCAAATCTACCAGGCAAGAAAAAAAGTGATTCCGTCATAATTGTACGAGAAACTTAAATCATAACCTCACTGAAGATATGACTGATTCCCATATGCCAGATGACAAGAAAGTTTTCGATACGCACTTGGTAGAACCTCGAGAGATTTGGAACGAAAAGCGATTGAGAATTTGTAGGATATGGTGTCCGAAGAATCGAGACACACAGCAATACTCAAAAAAAAACTTCATTCAACCACGATGTCAAATTCAATGCCAAACGAGCACAAAGGAATAACTGAGAAAGATGACACGAGACGAGCGATACCATGGAATTTCCTAGCAATACAAACTCTATAACCAAATGATACTATCACTCTATCCAACTCGAAAATTCTGCCAGAGAGAGAAATGATCTCTTCTGAGTGATGCACATATCCATCCTTTCCTTCGATTCGTGAGTTTCGCATACTCGATTCAGCCTCGAACTCGGTTGCTTCTATCTAGATTGAATTGAGTAAATGAATGATACAAATTATTGAGTTGTTTCTACCGATGTATATCGTGAAGCAATTGTAGAAGCGAAACATTTGTGGGATTTCGATGCGAACTAATTAGCGACCCGGGCCTAACCTAGACGGACTAATTGGGAAGACATCCCGAGAATTCATTCCGAGAATACATTATCCACCATGAGAAAGCTAAGACGATCAAAAGTTTTTGTCTACGGCACGTCAGAGAAACTATGTTGTCACAATTGTTGCCATGTCGGTAGATGCTAACTAATGAGGTATGGGTGTTGTCGAAGAAAAAATATCTTTTCTCCTAGAAAGTCATAGTGAAAAAGCTTGCCCTCCGTTACCTGCTCGCAATTGCTTGCCTGCTTACCTTTGAAAGGAAAAGACCATTAGTGGGAGAAGGGTTGGGTGGAAAGTATATTCATTTTTTCGAAATACCAGATGATCGAAATTCGGACTTCATGGCAGAATACCTCGGGGATCTTGAGGAGTGAGCAAGCATACGTACTTGTTAAACAGGGAAAACCGATAAAATGATACATAGATGCAAATTGAGTGTTACTTCAAAAATCACCGGAATAGATTGGGGGACGGCCAATTTTTTGGCTTGGGATTGTGATATCGTGAGTGTCAAGCCTTTACACGGCAAATTTTTAGTGTTCGAGGTGAAGTCGAAAGACATGGTCGTTCTAATCCGATCCACCCCTGCCGATCTGCCCCCTGTAAATTTGATAAGATTTCCGGAAACAATTGATTGGCTGCTACCAAAAAAATATACGCGCGTTAGTGTATCCTGATTTGGCGATAAGAACCGACACACGTGAACTTCGAGTTGCTTGGCTCATCGACTATTGTCTCACATACAATGTGAATTCTCTGAGCCTGATAGACGTTTCATTATGACCGAAGAACAGCCCGTTTCCACATTTGAATATGAGCCTCTAGATCTCGACAAACCAACAGCAATCCGAATTTTCATTCTAAGTGGGGGTACCGGCGACTCTCTCATTCAAAGTTCAATCCTCCACATAGACCTGAAAGATCCCTCGGGTACGATAAAATATGAAGCGTTGTCATATGAGTGGAAAGTAGCCAGTAGCGACGACCCAATCATTCTTGTGGATGATTGCAAATTTCGGATTCGAAAGAACCTATACGATGCCCTCATACAATTAAGGTTTGTTGATAAAGATCGGTATATTTGGATTGATGCTCTATGTATCAATCAATCCGATCATCTGGAAAGAAATCGCCAGGTACACATCATGCAAACAATTTACAAGAGAGCACAAAGAGTCATTCTCTGGCTAGGTCCTGCGAAAGATGATAGTGATCTTGCAATTGAGATCCTGAAAATATTGGAAAGTACCCGTGTGGGGGAGAGACAAATTGCTGAATCACAAGACCGAAATCGTAAGGATTGGCGCGCAGCACTCCTGGCCTTGTGTCAGAGATCTTACTGGCACCGAATCTGGATGATGCAAGAAATATGCCTCGGTCGAGAATATTTAGTATGCTGTGGTAGTAGGAATATCCCTGGTGATATATTTGACGAAGGTTTAAAGAATTTGGCGAGATCTAGAGACCATGGAGATGCTTGGAACGATACGGTGAAAGAAACTTTGGCGGTCCGACATATCACTTTGTTTAGATACTGGGCACAAAGAGGACAACTCTTCCGGCTGGGCCAGTGTATGGACATATGTTTGGATAGTTTCATTGCCACAGAGCCTCGAGATTTCGTATATGGAATACGTGGTCTTGTTAGTGACTGTGGGAATGATGAGCTGGTTCCTGACTATCAAAAGTCCTTGAAACAAGTATTCTTCGATGCAGTTCCGATCTTGAAGCGATCCTCGAATTCATCGGCGCAAGTCATCAGCAAGCTAGCGAAGAAGCTCGGCTTGACTGAGGATGAAGATGTGCAACTTTGCTTGTTAAACATTAAGGATCGCAATAATGAATTCGACAAAGTTGAAAGAACGACCCAAAATGAGTATCCTGGAGGGATGAGGAAAAGGCTGCAAAGGAGGAATCGAAGAAGTACGGGAAATTGGAAGGGTGGCAAGGGAGACGACGATTGGAAGCTTGACATAGATGAACCTGAATTCCCAGATTTATGACACTACAAATGGATTTAAATACTTTCGCAAGTAAAGATCATAACATTGGAGGTGTGAAAGTAGTTCATCCTGACATGGTGGCGCTTCTGCTTTTACCTCTAGGCATTTGTGTTTAGTCGTGCCGAAGGACATGTTACAAGGGTTTCTTCGAAATGGACTGTCAGCACACTTCGAATATTCTTGCTGCCTTGTATCATTCTGTCGTGATTGTTCAAGTGAATCTAATATCAAATTCACCTCGAACAAAGTCCTTAAAGCGTCAACACATTATCGTTAAAGCGGCAATTTGATCAGCCTATCGTGCTCACTCACTGCCTCCTTAATTCCTTTATTTATGACGGACCGTCTATTGAAACTGGAAACAAACTTTTGTTTCTTCAATTGCTACAAATATTCGCAACAGATATTTCGAAATAACCACACTTGACGAGTCAATTATCATTGTCCGAGATGGACAAAGACATAGAGTGAGTCATTACGGCGCGAGAAATATTTTTACTAGCTAACAAACATCGAGGCGCATCTATATTGAGGGAACAATCTTGGAGCTGCGACCAGAAAACGGGTCAGATGCAAAACCCGATGGAGATACTATTTCTTGCAAGATAATCAGATTCTTCGAGCCACCAACACTCTCCTGTGTCATGGAAGTGGAGTTACTGAATCAGCCTGACAACAAACGGGCCGTGCTCAAAGTTTTTGACCGACAATTTGCGTCTCAACTCCGATCTGATTACAAGGTCGGCCCGTCAACTGTTGCTAAAGAGACGGCGTTTTTTGAATGTATTAATAAGAGTGGTGATGCTTCAAAGTTCGTAGATCGACTGAGAAACGATGAGGACTTTGAGGAACCCGAGGAAGGCTGGGACATGGGGCAAAATGAAGCTTATCTTTACGATCTGTGTCTTGATATGTATGAGGCTGAATCGACTGTGTATCAAAGGCTAGAACACTTGCAGGGCAAGGAGATCCCGCAACTGTTGGCACGAGTCACATTGCAAGCAACCGCGGCACTGGACACAGTTCTAGACGATGCTACTAAATTCTTCGAGGTAAAAGGTGTTCTGATAGAGCTCATCGATGGGTATACACTATCAAATCTGCCAACCAAAGCACCAAAGGAGTCCTGGGGAGATATTTGTAACGAGGCAGTGCGAGTTATACGACTTCTTGACGACTACTCAATTCTGAACGAGGACGTGAGGCCTTCAAACATCATGATCACGAGGCAACCTGCGCAGGATAATTATCGTGTTGTCATGCTGGACTTCGCTCATTGCACTTTCCGAGAACCTGAGGAGACTGACAAATGGGGCAGGAAAAATCGGAACCAGGATGAAGAGGGTGCGATTGGACTGGTGATGAGACATAGATTGAAGAAGCTTGACTATGATTTTCCGTTCGAGCATTCCAATCATTTTTTTGGGGTGGGCAGAGACAGAGTTTCCATCAAAGAATGAGGACGAGGCTCATTCAACTCCAAAGTAGCTGTTGGTACCCCTACCAGAATATCATTGATGATGTGAATTCTGCGTAGGACGAGAATGAGCTTGGATTGGTCAATCAGGGTTTAATGTTCAGAATAGAGTGGGAATTTTTGGCTTAGTTGCTCAACTTCAAAATGGGCAAGTAGGGCTCAATGTTCAAGCGTAGATGGAACAAATCAACGTGAGTTTTCAAGATTTATCAAAATACAAAATATTGAAAAAAAAAACATATATATAATATAGGTGTGTTTGAAAGCCTGGTAGAAAATCAATGTTTCAAGGGGTTTTCGGCAGTTTTTGTATGCTTAGATGAGTTATATCTTTGTTCTCCTCGATGGTAAGCCATATATTCTGGGGTGCACTGGACAAGTTTTGTCTTATCAGAATCCCTTCCCCTTCTCTCTCTTTCTATCACCCACTTTAATCATCTTATGTTTTTGACTGGTGGTAAGGGACTGGGACCATAAACCTACTTTCCCAGCACCGAAGGATCCCAACAACAAGTGATTTTACATCATTATATGAAACAATGGGACTGTGTGTTGCTATACCTTCAATATGATAAAATGGCCTAATCGCAAACATATAGCTTCTCATGGCACACAAATGCAAGTACCTCGGCAATATAAGTCTCCCACAGGCTCTGCGACACACACCAAGTGACTTTTTCAGTTATACACAGAGGACTTTTGAGTTCAAGTCACACCTATCTCATATGCCATTTCGTCATAGTCACATCTGGTACTAATGTCTTTGGTGCTAAAAGGATACATATATTCTAGTGTCTATCATACACGTTGCTTTAGAGCTCACTTTCCCCCTGTCGTAATGACAGCGCCCAAGGGTGTAGATCATATCATCATGTGACACAATTAAACTATATGGTTCAACATTTGGGGCGTCCACGGGTACGCATGATATTATCCGGAATGCCAAGAACTCCTCTGAGAATCTTGGCATAATGTTGTTTTTCCTCAAGCTTCAAATACTAAGAACTCTGCATACGTAACCAGTTCCATAAATTCAAGAGCCCAACTGTATGAATCTTCCAGAGGAGGGGTTAGTACTTCAGTCGCAAAGTACACAGAGCTGAATTTGCCATTTGAGCGTATAAAAGTTACCGTTAGGCATTTAGATAATCCAGTGAGAGAAAGATACTTAATGATAAGTTTAACTTGATTTGATCAATCAAATCGAATAAACTGGACTTGTTGTGACAAGATTGATGTCACTAGGATATCACGTGTTTGAGAGCTACGTCGCACTAAGTGGCGTGATCTTCACTCCTGAGCAACTTGCTATCTTCCACTTCACACAATTCTGTCCAAAGGAGGCTCAGTGGAGATTCTGACCCGGAACGTCCTGCCGAGACTTCTGCCAATCGTGGCTGGCACCTTCTCTCAGAACCACATCAATTCCTCCTAGTTGGAGCACTGGACTATGCCTTTATTTTGTCGTTCTAGAAGATATTTCCAGATTGATTCAAAATCATCACCACGCTTCAGGCTACCGTTAGTTGGAGCTCGATCTAGAGATATCGCAATGTCGAGCACGGTTTTCATCGTCTTGAAAGACTGGCAGTAGTTTCTTCCGGGGCTACGACGCTCGATAAGTTGTACTCCGGGTTAACATCGTGGAGCTTCAGCCTCATTGTGGTAGGTCTATTGTGACGATAGACCATTTGGAAGTAAGTGTTATTTTTATTCCTTCTTCTTCAATGATGACCAATTCTCAAGCCCGTATACTAACTAATTAATAGTCATCTACCAACTGGATTCCTTAGCCACCAATTCTCCTCATGGAAATTTCTGGTGACTATGTCCACTATGATCCGAAAGTCTCATGGAGAGTCACGTCTTGCAAAACTCGGCCAAGGTGGAGATGTTTAGACCAGTGGTCTATGACACCCCTATAGTTGTTTCAATAGACACTATTCCTCCAAATCTTACAATCGATCTAAGTTACGCCCTGTTGTTACGAGGTACTCCTGCCCGAATGGAACCACACATCACAAATCGACCATTTCTTGGGTACTTCTCACGACATCTACTGTTGTGGTGTGGCATAGCCATCATATAGAATGGAGCATACGTCATTCATCTACCAGCCCATATATCCTGCAACAACTTTCCTCGCCGAACAAGGAACTCTTCGCAAATAGATTCCATCGCAAATTATATTCTTCAATCAAAGACCACAGCTACATCTCTGGATATACCCTCTATTTAACCTCCGCATTGGACTTGAGAGCAATTCAGCGAGGAACGTCAATCATATACAGACATCATCACTTGGGACACTTTATGTTCCTCGGCATTAGCCTGCTATAATATCGGCGGGATTCTATCAGAATGACTGACGATATGTCTATTGAAGGTGCCCGAAAGGATACTGGACGAGCCGAAAAGGCTTTCGTTTGGGTCAAGGAGGCACTGAAGATGATTATCCTGGTGAAGAATGTGATACAGATCATATACAGACGTCATCACTTAGGACACATTATGTCCATCGGTATTAACCTGCTATATTATCGGCGGGATTATATCAAAAGCATTCAGAAAGCTTGTCGCCAAAACGTGCTTCGGGGCCGAAGATATATAATGAGCATCTTGAAGGCGACCAACATGCCGACGGCCTACTTTTTTAACTGAACCTGCAAGGCAACTATGGTCGAGCCAGATGTACAATTCGTCTATCTAAACCGATAACTTCTATAGAGCTGGCCAACTACACCATTTAGCGTGGCTTGGCCAATGTTCTCGCGCTCCAATTCGTCGAGCAAGATGGACTTGCTGCTATTCCCACCGCCGAGATTGAGGTTGATCACACAACAAATTTCGAAGGAAACTTTTTCTTCGAAATACAACCCTTTCGCGATCGATTTAGATTATAGTTATTAAACCAAATTGATTACAATTGTTTTTAAGTAACTCTGATTAATAGTTATTATGATATTATTATTGGCATTCCATATACAAAACGTATACGAAAATTCATATAAAATTTTTACCTCAAATTATCAAAATAAGAATAAAACCCTTAATATGAATTGTTTCAATAATCTATCAATATTTGAGGATATAGTTATAATGGAGGCTTTTTCTGAAATCTCTATTATATTAAATACTTATCCTACTGTTGTTTTAGATACTCCAATATCTTCAAACTCTTTCTCGCCTTTTGAAAACTCTCAATTCGAAATCTCTAGCTTTATTCTATCAATCAATCAGTTAATCAATTCTGAAAAAAGAGCTGAAGAGTTTAATCTATTTAGTAACTCCTTTATTACTCAAGATACAATCAATACTATCTATATATTCAATCAGAATAAGAAATAGTACTCTATAATACTTTTTAGTAATCAGAACAAATAATCTAGAATACAAAACAAAACAACTACACCAAAGAAAGCGATTCTAAAAGCAAGAGATCTTATAATACTAGCCTCAACTCTTTCTCAATCACGTGATGAGCAATAGAAGCTATTAGATCTCCTAGAGATCTTTAGATTGATTGATTGATTAATTAATTGAATTTACATCCACCTTTAGTTTAAAACTATATAGAATAGCTAGATTCAATAGGCTTAATAAATAACTTTTTGATTTATAATATTGATTATAATCTTATTAAAAAAGTAAAAACAAATGTTGGGGAATAGTATTTGCTTATTATATATATTATATATAATAAGAAAATTTTGAAAATCAAGAAATTATAAAAGATCAAATCCTTTTCTTATTTCCTCAACTATTTTTTCTTTATTCTTTTCTTCTTTTTCTTCTTCTATTACTACTCCTTTCTTTATTATTTCTTATTCAAAAATCCTTACTAAATATTATACTCTTATAACGATTTTAATAATATTAATAAATTTGATAGCTAATTTAATATCTATTTTTGTATATAATAAGAATTGTATAATGTTTTTAAATAATAATATTTTCTTAAAAATCTCTTTTCTTTTTATTTTATATATCGAATAGTTAATAAGAAAATATTGAGATATCTTGATATTATTATATCTATATTTGTTATTAATAAGTTTGAAGTGATGTAAGTAGGATTTGATATATTTATAATCTAATTTGAATTAAAAGAATGTATTAGTAGTATTTCGAATAGTTTTGCTTGATAGCTTAATTTTCAAATCAATTTTCCATAAAAATAGCTTTGAGTAAATTAATAAGAATTGATTTAATTTGAGTTTATATTGATTAAAAATATTAAGTTATTAATCTGAAATATATTCTTTAATAATTATATTTAATAATTCAAAGTTTGTTTTATTCAAGATAGATTATATTGTAATTGTTTTTTTTACTAGTTTATTACTAATTTATTTCCTTTAATTAAAATATATTCTAAAATCCAGTTTAAAGATATTTTAGTTTTTTTAGTTTTAATAATTTCTACTATTTTGATTGTTTTTATTTGATATACTTATTCTGGGTAATCTAAAGATATCTTTAAACAATATAAATCTATTTGATTATTTGAGTAGATTTTGAATTTTTGATTAGTATAAGTAATTGAATTAGTATATTCGATAGTTCTTGTAATTTTATAAAGCTTTTCATTATATATTAATTGATTAATATCAATATTACTTTACTCTTAATATAAAATTCGATTATTTAATTATATAATTATTATATTTACTCTAATACCTACTTTCTTTCAATGGAGGAGGTATTAATATAAATATAAGTAATATTCTTATTTCTATAATTGAAAACAATATTATAAAGAGTAGCAACATTTTCTTTTAACAAATTACTAATATTAACTCTAAAAGGAATTTCTCTTTTTTTATAAAGAGAAATTAAAATGAATGATCTTTTCGAATAAAAAAGGATTGAAATCCTTATTTATTGATTCTCTAATTCTATCCAATTGAATAGGCTTATATTATTTTCTTAGAGGAGTAGAGATCGCTTTCAATTTATTTTTTATTTATTTATTTATATTAA